TCCGATCTAATGGGACTTAGTCTCTGCAGCTGAAATAATTTCCCATTTACTGAACCAAGTGAAATAGCCAGGCAGGCACAAAGGGTTTGCACCAGGTCTGGGGACACAGGGGACACCGTCTTAAAGGGGCCGTGTCCCAACAAGTCTGGGGACACGGCCTTAAAGGGGCAGTGTCCCAATCTTCCTGATGTCCCAAAAAAGGTGTTTAAAGGCCCAGCACCAGTCACATAAAGAGTCCATAAGCCCCAATATGCCCACCGACAGTCTTAAAGGGCCATACACACCAAATAAAAGTGCATACATTTTCACAATCTCCCAGGGGCCATAGTCAGGAGGCTGGCAAGTAGGCTTCTCCACAACCCAGGGAAGCAGGGCAATTTGCCATTTAAAGGGCCCATTACAAATAGCAGTTTGTAACAAGGTGTCAATCCATATCTGCCAAGTGACCCGATGTAGGGGGACCAGTCCCTATTCTGCTCTGTGTCAGTGTGTATCAGGGAACCTTAGGACAGGTGTCAATCCATATCTGCCAAGTGACCCGATGTAGGGGGAACGGTCCCTATTCTGCTCTGTGTCAGTGTGTATCAGGGATCCTTAGGACAGGTGTCAATCCATATCTGCCAAGTGACCCTATGTAGGGGACCAGTCTCTATTCTGCTCTGTGTCCGTGTGCATCAGGGGCTCTGAGGACAGGTGTCAATCCATATGTCAAGGTGTCAATATGTCATATGTCAAGTGTCAATCCATATTGATTGTGATTTAAGAATGTTAGGTGATTTCTGCCCTTTATGGATTAAAACCAGACTCTGTATCAACTGTGTAATTTTCCATGGGAGTTTTGCCATGGATCCCCCTCCGGCATGCCACAGTCAGGTGTTAGTCCCCTTGAAACAACTTTTCCATCCCTATTGTGGCCAGAAAGAGTCCCTGTGTGTTTTAAAATTCGCCTCCCCATTGAAGTCAATGGCGTTTCGGGCGGTTCGCCGGTTCGCGAACATTTGCGGAAGTTCGCGTTCGCCGTTCGCGAACCGAAAATTTCGGGTTCGCGACATCACTAATAATAAGCTTCAGATTCTGGTATATTTCTGAACCACAAGATGCAATGAGGAAAAGGCTGAAAATAATAGTCAGTATCTAGGTCTAAGTCAAGACCTTATCATTCCCCCCCTGGGAAGTGGCAGAAGAGTGGCCAGGAAAGAGAGTATCATCTCTGCAGGGTATCCTGCACAGAATTCGTCTATTACAGGGAGAAGTGGGATATTGCAGGGAGAGTCTCAGGGAATCAGGGCACCATTTGACACCAGAGCCTGTTAGGGAATAGCAAGAGGCTTCGGGGGGTACTATGGCTTAAGGGAGAGGCTGGTCCCTGGGAGCAACTTCACAGGAACTGGGGCGGGGCGACATGGAGGTGTACAATACCTGTATAATTCAGGTAAAGGTATTGGGGGAACTAGATAGGGCCCTTGCATCCTGGTCAGGTTTATCTGTTTGTAGCAGAAGAAATAATGAGCAGAGGGCTGTTTTATCAGCAGCAGAGAGTGGTGCAGACATATGAATCTGGCCATCAGGCATAAAGGTGATAGAGGCCTGCAAGCGGGGGAAGGACATCTGCACCTAGCAGATTGATTGGACAGGTAGAGGTAACCACAAAGCATGGCTTAGTTAACAGGCTACTCCAAGGAGAGCCATCTACACTTATGTAGGAGACAACAATATTAGACAGGAATGAGGAGTCAGGCAGGCCTTGCTTGCTACAAAAAGATTCCATGTGGCCTGCTATACAAGGCCTCATATAGCCATTAGGTATGGGCCTTATTATGTACTAAAACCTAAGTCAGAGGAAAATTTGGGACAACCTGAAGTTATACTTCTCCACAGATGCTAACTCATCGTGGATGACATTGTTAATACAGATAGCCTGATCAGCCAATTTATCTTAGGCTGAAACAAGTCACGCCATGTAGTGGAATGGGTCATTAGGATTCTGGCAATTCTACAGTAAAAGGGCATAGTAAGGGCGGAAGTGATGTTACGTTAGGAGCAGGGGCGTACCTAGAGCATTTGGCACCCGGGGCGGATCCTGTGCTTGGCACTCCCCCCCACCCCCCCAAAAAAAAAAAAACCTGTAAAAAATGTTAAAGGTTTTATTTCTTTTATTTTTACAATTTGTAAACTTTGCAAAACCGTTGTCAGCCCCTCCTACAAAACCCTTGTCCTGCCCTGCCCCTCCTACAAAACCTCTGTCCTGCCCCTTCTACAAATCCTGTACTGCCCCATCTACAAAACCCCCGCAACCCCCTTCCACAAATTCCCTGCTTATCCCCCCTTATAAAGACTCCTGTCCCAATACAAAACCCCCACCCCTTCTACAAAATCCCTGCAGCCCCACACACACATTTACAGGCAGACAGTCACACACTCAGTTACAGACACAGTCACACACTCAGTTACAGACAGACAGTCACACACTCAGTTACAGACAGACGGTCACACATACACATTTCCTCCGTGCGGCCAGTTTATCAGCTGTTTGCTTGAGTGAGCTGTACTGGCCGCACGGCACCCTAACTACCATGGGACACTGTGCGGCCACAGCTCACACAGCCCCCTCCAGCCAGGGCCGGTACAAGGATTTTTGCCGCCCTAGGCAAAAGTAAAGTTTGCCGCCCCCCATGTGACATCACAATGCCCCAGCCATATGGTTTGCCATGTTAACTAACGCCAGTGCTGCAGTGCCGCCGTGTTTACATTAAATGGCCTGCAGGGACAGGCTATAGACACCAGAACCACTACATTAAGCTGAAGTGGTTCTGGGACTATAGTGTTTCTTTAATGTGAGGTAAATTAGAGCTTAGTGCCACGAATAATATACTAGATTGCCTACTTACAACCAGATGAGGATGATGATGGGCTCTAGCTGCAGTCTGGCTCCACTGGTCTGGTGTATAACAGGATCTCTGGAGGCTGTTTGTAACTGTGGTCTCACAAATCAAATGTTCTGGGAGAACGGGAAGCAGCTGCATTTTTTGGGGGCCCTTTACACAGCTCAAGGTCTGGGTCCCAGGGTCCACCTTCATGTTCCACCAATGATTTTGTTCACAGGGGGTGGAGTGTGTAGGGAATGTCCTGATATGTGTGTAAGGAATGCATTGTGTGAATCTGTGTTTGTATGTGTAAGGGCTGCAAGGTGTGTTTCTGTGTATGTACGGGATGCAGTGTGTGTGTCTGTAAGGGATGCATTGAGTGTGTGTAAGGGGTGCATTGAGTGTGTGTAATGAATGCATTGTGTGTTTCTGTGTGTGTAGGGGATGCATTGTGTGTAACGGTTGCATTGCTTGTGTATGTGTGTCTGTGTGTGTAATGCATTGTGTGTTTTTCTGTGTGCAAGGGGTGCTTTGTGTGTATGTGATGAATGTCAATCTCTCCTCCCGCTCCAATTTCCTTCTCCTCCTCCCAATTTCTCTTTCTCACCCCCCTCCTAATTTCTCTCCCCCTCAATTTCTCTCCCCCCTCCTAATTTCTCTCTTTCTCACCCCCCTCCTAATTTCTCTCCCCCCCCTAATTTCTCTTTCCCCCTCCTAATATCTCTTTCCCCCCCTCCTAATTTCAATTTCTCTCCCCCCCCTCCTAATTTCAATTTCTCTCCCCCCTCCTAATTTCTCTCCCCCCAATTTCTCTTTCCCCTAATTTCTCTTTTTCCCCCTTCTAATATCTCTCCCCCCTCCTAATTCCAATTTCTCTCCCCCCCCCCCTCCTAGTTTCAATTTCTCTCTCCCCCCTCCTAATTTCAATTTATCTCCCCCTCTCCTAATTTCAATTTCTCTCCCCCCCAATTTCTCTTTCCCCCCTCCTAATATCTCTCCCTCCCTCCTAATTTCTCTTCCCCCCCTCCTAATTTCTCTCTCACACCCCCTCTCCTTTCTCTC